GGAAAACAGCATGCCCGCCGCCCGTGGGGGAAACCGCATGCCCAAGATCCCCGATGCAGCGGATCAGATCGAGGTCCTTTGCGCGGTGAAGGGCAACTTGGAGGAGCGGCAGCTGCAGACCACGCATCTCCCGCACACGCCGACGTGCTAGGAGGCCGCGTGCAGCAGCCTGCAGCCTCACCGCCGCCGACACGTGGCGGGTAGCGATCCAAGACGGAAACGGTGACGGCGACTGCGGGGACTGGACTTGGTGAAGCGGGACACCCGCCGGTGCGGTCGATGCGGGACCGGAGCTGACCGGCGGTGGTTGCTGCAGCTGCAGTGGCTGCTGCGGTGGCGCACCGGGCAGTGGCAGCGGTTGCTGCGGCGGAGCGCTGGGCGCGGCGGAGGCCGCCAGGAGCGGCGACTGCCACTGCAGCCAGGGCTGAGCGGTGGTGGCGATGGATGGCAGCTGCAGAGGCCCGGCGAGCGCGCGAAGGCCGCCTGGTGCGGCGGCTGCCACGACAGCCACAGCGGCGCGGGGGCGGCGATGGGCGCTGGAGGCGTGGCGGGAGCCGGTGCCGGCCACTGCGGCCACTGTGGGGCGGCGGCGGTCGGCGGCGGCAGCTGCAGCTGGGGCTGCAGCGTCCCAGCGAACGCCACGGAGGCCTCGGGATGCGGCGAGTACCACGGCAGGGCCGGCGGCCCGGTGGCGGCGGTCGGCGGCACCGGCGGCGGCCCGTAGGGGCTGGCCAGGTACAGCCGGATCCCCTGGACGGCTGTGACGAGGTCGTTGAGGACCCCGGTGATCTACTCCGGGGTGTAGGTGGCGGCCGGTGATGCGGTGGAGGGCGCCGGCATCTTGGGCGGTGGCGGCGCCGGAGGATGCGACCAGCGGCGCGGACGGGGAGGGCAGCGACGCAGTGTAGATGGCCAGCGGCGCGGTGGTGACGGTCGGCAGCGAAAGCGACGGGGTGGGCGGCGGCGAACACATGATCGGAACTGGGCTACCTGATACCAAATTGTTATGGTGCTGCTAGGAGGGCGCGAGAGGGCCGGCCGGGGGCCTTTTTGCCCACGGCCGGGCAAGAGGGAAGGGATTTCCTTCTTAATTCTTGCTTGATTAGATTGATACATCTCCTTTCTTTATATAGAGAGGTTTACTTGACTCCCAAGCAAGGCTTACTTGACCCCTAAGCAAGCGACCCTTATCTCTAATTAACCCTAAGACTAATGGGCCCATTAGGCCCATTACGTACTCTAACAACTACTCCCTCTGCAACTAAATACTACTCCCTCCGTCCGGAAATACTTGTCATAGAAATGGATATAAATGGATGTATCTAGAACTAAAATACATCTAGATACATCCATTCCTCGGACAAGTATTTCCAGATGGAGGGAGTATAATACATCTTATATTTAGTTATAGAGGGAGTATTTATTAATAGTGACATGCTTTAAGTGCCATACATAGAAATATAAGGTTATGCACAAAGTGACATACAAGGTTACAGAGTTCCATTCACAGAAATACAGTCATACACCAAAATACAAAGTGACGTACATACCGCATTTACAAAACAAAGTTCCATATTTATATACAAAGTGCCATGTTCGAAATATACAAGGTATTCAAATAAAAAAGGTGCCAAATTACAAAGTACCACATTCCCAAATATACAAAGTGCCACATCAGTAAACGTACTAAGTACCAGCAGTTTACCATCAATGCATTTGAAGTGCCAAGTTACGAAGTGCCGCATTGCGAAAATATACAAAGGTTGACATCAGTTTACAAAGTGCCACATCGGTAAACATACAAAGTACCAGCAGTACATTTTAAGCACCAGCGATACTAAATTTAAGTGCCAAACTTAAGTACCAGTAATACTAAATTTAATTGCCAAATTACAAAGTGCCATACAGTAAACATACAAAGTACCGGCAGTTTACCATCAATGTATTTTAAGTACCAGCAATACTAAATTTAAGAACCAATTTACAAATCATAGTCAAGTTCAATCAGGAGATCAGCAAAGTTCGTACTCATGTTTTAGTTAAGTTCGAACATGAGATAGCAAAGTTCATAGTTAATAAGGAAGTCTTCACTTATAAATGCATACATGCAAAGTGCTGGCTGATGTATAACAAAGTACCATATTTGAATTAATACAACACAAAAGATGCATTCAGAAAGTCTTGTACTTTCAGTTACAAAGTACCGAAATTAGTACATGCCAACCTCGGTAGAAGCCGGAACATTATAATTCACAGCGAACTTCTCTGTCTGCAGGGTGATAAACAAAGTGGTGGTAATGATGGCGGGTCAACATCTGCAGGCCAATCTCCACGGCTTAAATCTTTTGGTAGTAGATCTTTTCTTTCTAATGATGTAAGTCGTGTTCAATCATTTGAAATTAGAATATATGGCATGTTTGTTCTTAGATTCTCCTTTCTTCCATCACATCACTACCTTCAGTGGGAATCTTATTTCACTGTCTCATTTAAGTTGGGGTTTGATCTATGAACACATGAAGAAATATCTTGAACACAATTATTCATTATGGTGGTATGAGAGTTCATTTTGATGATATGGTGGAACCATAAATGCAACTTATGTTGCTAAGGGTCCTTGATGCCTCATTTTAGTTGGTCTAGCTGGTTTTTGACACATCATGTACTGCTGGAGTATATGACACCTTTCTGCTTTATCTGGAATAACATGAGCTGATTTAAACTGCCCTGTTACTAGTAATGGTATGAGTATTACTAGCAAAAGGGCCCGTGCGTTGCAACGGGAGAAAAGAATAACACGGAGAAAAGAATAACACACGCTTTTAATTTACAAAAAATTGTACTCCCTCCGTCCGAAAATACTTGTCATCAAAATGGACAAAAAGGGATGCATCTAGAACTAAAATACATCTAGATACATCCCCTTTTATTCATTTTGATGACAAGTATTTCCGGACGGAGGGAGTATATTATTTGCAGCTACGACCCAAACAAAGATGGTCTTTGCTTACAAAAGCGCAAGTTCAAAATTTCACATGTCTTCTATTTAAACATGGCTTGCATGTAGATTTAATACGTACAAAGAAACGAGCAAGTGATCTTCAATTTCGTCTCCAATCCTGATTTTGCTGAGATGTTCATCCACAATCCGGATCATTACCGATATGAAAGAAAGACGAACAATGCACTGTTGATTAAGATTGCACCCTAGATAGTATTTTTTTAAATGGTTAACAGGTAAAATAACATCACATTCAGATTCTATATATTTTTCTAATCAAATTCCATATATAACATGTTTTTAGAAGATCTGAGTACTTTAAAAAACATTTGATATGTACTGCGGGTTTAATGTAAGAAACATCAGGGGTTTTTCTATATAATAGCATGACGGACTAAGAATACCTATTTCTTTTATTAGTAATAAAGGTATAGATTTATACTTGTGTGTTTTCCATAGTCCTTGTGCAAGGCTCCATTTAGCGTCGTGGTGGTATTTCAAGAGCACACGGTATTTCCATTTCTGGATGTAAGTACTCCCTCCGTAAACTAATGTAAGAGTGTTTAGATTACTATTTTAGTAATCTAAACGCTCTTATATTAGTTTACAGAGGGAATAGTTGAAAGCATAAATAATAAAAATTTAAATGCAAAGTCTTGCTGGAATGGCAACCTGTAACCCATTGACATCATGTTTGACTGATGGCATCTCTACAAATTATTTCTTTAAATGCATTTGTGCCGAGCAACTGTAATCACATTGATTCTGACTTGCACTTAGGGACATCTTTGTGACATTTTTTCTCTTGAAGGTGGAGGCTGGACTAAGAAGGCCGCTGAATTCATGCTCAGTGGAGACAAGTTGAAAATGGAACTTATTTTTGCCAACCTGACTACCTGAGCACTCTTTGTTTGGTCCTCCTTGAGTCAGTAACTCTTGTTGACTTAACATAGAGATTTGTACAGTGCAAATGTTCATGGCTCGGAACAGTGGCTCCCCGGTAAAACAAGAGCAGCAAGATAGTACAACGATGATGGCCTGTGTTGCTACGCAATTCTTGAGCTTGTGCAAGAGTTTCGGTGCCAATCTGGCAGCTCGTTTTTGCCTGGAGTACACTTGAGTTGGATTGTTTCACAGGGGCAGACGCTGACCAGTTGGCAACATGTGGAATACTAGTAGTACTTTGCTGCCCAGTATGGTCCATTTTCCAGACACGTGTATGGCCTGTTTCTCCTCTTGGTTGTCACGGAAATGAGGCTGATAGTTGCCTACTCCGCTATAGTTAAATCGGCCATTCCGAGCCGGATCGTTCGGTTGGTGTTGTCAACATCACTCACTTTTTTACTTTTTTTATGAGAGTACGCCTAGGCATACCATAGCTTTATAGAAGACAGAATTGGAATTACAAGAAACTACCACTCGCTGTGAACAACGAGCGTAGCAGCGCACACCACATCACTCACGAACAAGTCCACACATGGACAACACCGCAAAGCAAGCTACAACACATAAGAGCCTATCCTAGGCTGACACACACACCGCGTCTCGACCGACGCCGGACGCCTCTGAAGACCACCCTTTCATAGAACCTTGCTTGTCGACGCACCATCCACCTTGAGCGCCTAAGAGGAAGTGGCAAGTGGAAGGAAGGACTTGCTCCGATCTGAAGGAAGCACCGTCTTGGAGACACCAACGAGGGCATACATAGCGCCGTAGAGGACCAACAGAGGACAATGGCGGACACCGGAGGAGAGCAATAAGGACCCAACCATGTCTCCATACACAAAGCTCCCAACAGAGATATGATGTCGAGGACGTCGCCAATGTGCCGATCCAACATTGAATCAAGGCTTTCGCCTGAAGACAGCCACCAACTCCAAGAGAACGAGGGGCATGACACGCACGCCTCGGCGACGCCTCCAAGAAGGGGATGACACCCACGGGTGCCATCGCCGCCGGCCCGACAGAAGCCAAGCAAGATTTTCATCCGCGCGTCGCACAACACCACGCCTCTTGGAATTAGGCCACACCGTCCAATTCGCCTTGCATCGCCGCCACCACAACTCTAGGCAGAAGTAGTCGCAAAGCCAAGGACCGACGACCAGCTGCACGACCAAGAGGACCCCAACCACCGCACCAAACTCCTCGCCTGGACTAAGAGCCGCAGCCATCCGCACCAACGGCCAGGTCCATGACCGCCCACAAGCCATCGCCAGAGGACGACCTTGCGAGCGTCAGAACCGCCCTCCACAAAGCACCAAGCTACGCCACCGTGAGAGCACCGCCGCTCACCACCGCGCATAGAGGTGACCGGCCACACTCCTGCTCGCCAAGACTCCATCTTGGCCGAGCCCCCACAGCGCCGCCGTCACCAACTGTCCGTGGGCTCGCGCCGCCGCCACCAAAGCTCACCAACTCATCGTTGCCAGCTCTGTCTAGGACCGCCGCCGCCATACCAATCCTTCAGTCGCACAACGGAGCCAGCCCTCGAAACCGGCCGACGCGGAACATACCAGATCGATCCCCATTGCGAAGAGCGCCGTGCCGCCACCGACCCGCGCACTCCACCGCAACGTGATGCCACCGGCCAGCAGTCCGCACCGCCCCGCACCGCCACCGCCTGCGCGCCATCCGCCGCGCCGCCCCGCACCGATATTCGCCGACGCGCCCGAAGAGGAACCCCCCGCGGCCCCTGATCCAGGCAAGGATGAAGAGATCCTGCCCCCGCCGGCACCGCACGGGCTTTGCCCAGCGTCGCCCGTCGACGGCGGCGGGGGGAGGGGAAGAGGGTGGGGGCTTGGTCCGGCGGCGGCTAGGGTTCGGCACCCGGGTCGTTCGTGGGGGGACGACACGGGGCTGGAGGGGGGGGGAATGAGACCCAGACCGCCACCAGGTTGAAGCTTTTCCTCACTCACTCACTTTTTTGACAATGCACATCTTTAGAGCAACTCTAAAGCGCCGATCCATTTCGTTCTCGCGTATTTGTTTGGGTCAAAATGGAAACAAAATGATGCAGAGCATCCTTCGGTCATCCCCATGGACTTTCCGTCGCCTCACCAAGCACCAAGAGGACCCATGACACGAGCCCGAGCTAAGGCTATTGAAGATAAGGTGAACTCGCTCCTCTCCGAACTTTCTCTTCCTACTCACGAGACACGACTACTACCTCATTCGAAAACTCTGTGTCTGATTAGGTGCCTGGAAGCGAGCCACGAAACAGCTACATACAAGAGCCAAGACGGCGAGGACCCCAAGCATGGTGGACAAGAAGAAGAGCTGCCGTGGGAGCTACAGGCGTCGGACGACCGACCAAGTCCGGACGTCCGACGAGTCCCAGGACACGGACGGCCGAGCTTTCCGGACGTCCGGTACCTGGCCACCCGAACCAAATCTACGGAAGTCCGAGACGTCTCAGACGACCGGACGACAAGCAACCGAGCCGAAACCACGAACGATCGACGATCTCCGGACGTCCGGACCGTCACGAAGCTCCGGACGACCGACCCCCTCCGGACGTCCGACGCGCCCACAACAGAGCTGATTCTACGGACGCCCGAGCCCGACCGGATGTCCGGACCGTCCCGAGCCTCCGGACGTCCGACATCTTTCGGACGACCGACACCTGAGTGACCGGTGCGGGCTGGAGCCCTTGTACCCCTTCGCTTTGACTTCCATTTGCACTAAGACTATAAATAGGATGCCCCCACCTCCTAGGGAGGGTCAGCATAGGTTTAGCTCATATTTTGTGTGAGAGCCTTGGTCATCCACTTGGCTACTTCTCCTCGGAGCTCAGGACCTCTTCGGAGAAGATCCCCCAAGCGGATTCAAGACCCCGTTCTAGGGAAGACCATCAAGACCTCCGTACGGAGAAGAACTGTTCCTTTCTATCCTTACCTTGGTTGATTGTGGATCATATGTTACTCTATGTTGTCGGTGATCTAGCACTCGTGTGATTGATTCTATGTCGGTTTAGTGTTTCTCTCCCTCGTTTTCCCGTGTTTCCCCTTTGTGCTTCCGTGTGTTCTTCGTGATTCCCCGTAGGATCCACTCCAAACGTGAAAGATCGTCCACATAGGGTTCCACCCTACATCATCTTGGTATCATGAGCCACGTTGATCATGTTTTTGGAGCCCCTACCCCGTGTTTTCTAGCTTGATTTTGTTGTTTTCGTCCTAATTCCGAAAATTCCCCACCAAAAATAGCCCCAAATTTTTTTGTGATTTGTTTGTGAGTTGAGATTTTGTTGGATTTGGTCCATGGATTTGTGTTGCTGCGTGTGGATCTAGCTTTCCCCACCCTCCCCACCCTTTTCCATCCACCAAATCACTCGATTTCGACCTCACCATCTCCTTCTTCCCTGAAATCTCGCAGTTCATCACGAGCCCGGTTTTTGCCCAGGCTCCGGACGACCGGAAAAGGTCGGATGTCCGACGACGACCGGACGACCATAAAAGACCGGACGTCCGTGAAACCCTGACGACACTGAAGTTTGACAGTGCGGCCACCACCATAACCCCCACATTCCACCACATTTTCCAAACCAACATACACCTACATCTTCCACGATACCTCCTATGACGATTTTGACACGTTTTGGTCTTTGAGAGTTTGGGTTGTGGTTTCCCGTATCCTTTTGTGTTTTGGCTATCTAGGTACAGTTCGACTTCATCAACACCACGGCTCAACTTCTCGAGGGTCTCATCATCGCCAAGGACGGTAACTTCGACGACATCTTTGTCATAACTTGCAATTGCATTGATAACCCACATTGCCTCATTTTGCGTAGCTTACCCATCGAGACTAGCGGTTGAGTATTGCACGCAACGCGACTTGTGCACATTAGTGATCATACAACATAGCATACATATCATACCATAGTGGTGCGTATCTTGAGATCAACTTGTGTGTCACAAAGTTGTCATCGCATACACAATTGCTACCTTGGTTCGTGGGTTTTGCATGAGAAAGAGCTCAAAAGTGAAAGAGCCACTCAAGCTTTTAAGCAAAGAGGAAAGCAAAGAGCTTATGAACAAGAACCATAGCATCATACTACATCAAGATTGTCATATTGGATCATCTTGGATCATTGCACCGAAATACCATACATATAGCATATGTGGGATAGAGATAGTTGCATTTTTGCCTAGTAGGTTGTGCTTAAGTTTGCGTATCCGCCTTTTGTGCAATCGTGCTAGCGTCTCTCTAGTATTGTGCAACAAGAGCATTTTCGTGGGTTCCACATTTTGGCTCACTTTTGGATTGCACAATCCCATTTATCTATTTGCGTGTGTGTTTCCGTGTACCCATACTAGCTTGGTCTACTTGTTGCACTTTGCAAATTTGTGAATCTTTTCCAACATTATTGAAGCTCACTTACTATTGCATCAAATTTTGTGCCACCATCCTAACCAAGCTCCACCATAAGCTTTTACGTGTGTAGGTGTGAGAACCGACAAGAATTGGTACCAACAGTGTTATTTCATTGTCCGCATTTGAGTGAACTTGATTCATCTTCAACTTCGGTCAAGGTACATTTGGTACACGTTCTTTTCCTTCTACCACTTATATTTTGCTTGGTATGATGGATAGGCCAAGTTCTTCTACCACTCCACCTCTCATCGAGAACGACGACGACATGTCATCATTCGTCACCAAGAACCACCTATTTGGAGCTCAAAAGGCATTGCACCAAGAGCAACAAGCAATGAAGGACTACTTCGACAACAAATTCGACAACAAATTCGACGCTCAAAAGCAAGAGAATTATGCAAGAATGGATGAGATCCGCGCCTTCATGAGGAACCGGCATCCTTCCACTTCTTCATCCTCAAGACGGAGCCGCTCGAGTCGACACTCCGACGACAC